AAAAATTCAAAGATTTTTCATGACGATAAACTGTAGTTTGAAAAGAAGACAAACTAAAGTTTTTGCATGAAATAGAAGCATTGATTGATGATCAGAAAGCAGTGGTGTATATTTCCATGTTTTGTCTGCCCTTGGGCGATTCAAAGCTACAGTAAACATTCCAGTTTCCTCACAAAATAATCTGAAGAAAGCATATATTCCAGTTCCCTCGATATAATCGGGCATTTTAAAAGATTAGCTGCGGGCCCAATGATTCACTGAATATGAAGAGAGAAAATTCCAGCTTTGACTGGAAATGTGACTTGTTTAATATGAGAAAATGGAATAGAGAGATGATGAGGGACAGAGAAATGAGATGAAGATTACATGGGGGAGAGAGAGAGACAGAGAGAGAGCACAATGGAAAGGAGAGTAGAGGGGCTCAAGTTAAAAGAACAGAGGGTGAAGTTTAGTTTCAAAAGGGAAACAGAAAAGTCTAGGGGACAATTGAAAGGATTGTGCAATGAGGGTTACAGCTTTGTACGATTACAACTAACGTTTTTCTAAATTGGTTTGGAATAAAAGAATAAGTTTACAGGCTGAGTTGGTAAATAGTATACAGATAAACCAAATTACAGCCTTTTAAAAGATCTGCAGGCTTATTTCTCTTTCGGGCAGTAATCATGCTTTGTTCTTGGGGTAGGCGTAATGGTGAGATGTTAAATGATTAGGATATTTTGAGAGATGTTAATTATGTTAAGATGTTTTATGCATATATATACACATTCACTATTTATCGGACTAATATCTTGCGCATATTGTATTTATTAAACTGACAGGGTTATTTTCTTAAAACAAACAGAAAAAACAAGGCAACGAGAGAAACAAAAACAATGGAATGCTATTTTCCCTAAACCTTTACAGGTTGAAAACCTCTGATTAAAAAAGAAAAAGGCGCCTTTCTGTACAGATAGGTAAAGTGCAACTTAAATTTTAAACGTGATGCAGAGTCAAAGTAATAAAACCTGGCAGATAATAAATAATTTATGAAATAGATGGTAAGCATGGTCCATCAAAATGCACACAAAACTATAAAAAACCTGAATTCGTATTCACTTAAAGCAATAAAATATGCATAAAATTATTCGCGTTACGCTGTATAGGAATGACTAGCTCGATTTTACTTTTCTTCTCTGCACTTTTATCATTCACTTGCAATTATACGGTTTATTTAATTACCACTTACTATTATAATGTGCCAAGGTCTGAGTTATCCAGGATAGCAATATCGGTATTAATGCTTATCTGCACTAGTTTGGCCAGGAAGGAATATACTTCCCTGCGCGGTCACTGACAGGTGGTTATCTCATCGAATCAGATCTCAATTAACATAAGAAAAAGGGGATCATGGGGGACCAACGGGTACCGCTTAATGGCATTGTTTGCTATTGTATTATATAGAGGGAGCAAGTAGCTACAAGTAGTGCAGTCCCGTTTTAACACTACTCTTTATCCAGACCCTGTAAGCTTTACCTCAGCATTGCAGGAAACCCATCATTTCATACATTATCTGGATCAAGAGGGATAAATGTGAGCAAAACACCTTGTCCAAGGGTGTAAACACCGAGCACGAATCGAACCCGGGACCTCTCGTATGAGAGTCAAGAGCGTTCCATAAATATAACCATTTTTAATATTTGCGGTGCCCCACAATTCGGTAATTTTGAACCAGCCGTTGGAAAACTATATAGCGCCGTATACGTTCTATTCCAGCCAATGCCAATATTGGCTATTGTTGATTTTTTTCGTGTTGGTTATCATACGCACAACCGGCTGGCCCGTGTATTGTTATTATTCATTAAGTAATTAATTAACGACATCGTATTTTTTTTTAAGTTGAGCCGAATTGGTATGATCTTATTTCATCTAAATTCACAAATTTTGGGGTCTTAACTTACCTTCATAGCAACCTTAGGTTGTAAAAGGGCACTAGAAATGTCATAAATAAGAATAAGAGCAATAACCATGCACTTTGAAGGCATTTGTTGTCTTAAACAAGGACTCAAATATCCCTTTAAACATTAACAATAAATTGGATTTGAATTTGTCATGTTCTACTTTCCTTCATAAGTAGAACTCGATATAACCTGAACATAATTGGTGCCTTCTCCTCCTTTAAAGCATGGATCCGGAAAATCAGAAACATAAAACCTTTACCAGACTTGAACTTCGTAATTGGGAGAGTAATGTGGTTCCTGTATTGAATTTTGTACGGATCTATTTTCAGTATGGTGCGACAAGCAACGCTACTCATGGGGAATCAAACGTATCACATGATATACGCTTTGCAGGTGTAATAAACAGCGCACACTACAGTTATATCATAATTAGAAAAATAAAACAATAATGCACTCAAGCAAATTAAAAGTGTTTAATGAAACACGTTTTAATTGCTGTCGCATCGTATTTATTTTATTCCGTTCTTGCTGCTATGGATATTTTGTAAAGACTTAAATCTCATTCATTATAAAGTACCTACAGCCCCCCCCCCCTCCTCTTCCAATCTTCAATAACGTCCAATTATACACACACACATAACTCACGAACAAACAGTGCATATTTATTGCATTATTTACATTCATCACCTAAATATCCAAGCACTGTGATTACTTTTCAGAATGCTTAGTAATTTCAGTACTGTAAATATTTGTTAACAAGTGTAGTGTCATCGAGATTCTTCTCATTGACAGCACACATCATTTCAGTAACATTATATCTTTAATTGGTGTTTGTCCTGACTGCCTTCAGTAACTTGTAACAAATATTTTATTTCAAATATTCCTTCCTTTGATAATTACTTGTGTAGGTGATATATCAGAATAGAGATTACGACACGTTGATCAGTTAATATGTTAAACAAAAAAATGAAACCGATGTAACGCTATGTCGTGTTACAATTCATAAACACCCTCTCAACATTGTAACTAAACGCTGTCTAGAGAATGAATTTACAAAGCGTGTGTTGCAGAGATTTTGAAGGCAATCTAAAATTCTTATCGCGATATGAATGACCCTAACATAGTTTGACACAGTCAATAGTAGTTAATAATAATAATAATAATAATCCGGTTTTTTATATAGCGCTCAATACAACGATCCAACGATGTGCCTAAGCGCTTTACAGATATATTATTACCCCGGTCATCGGATTCAGGCTTACCCGCACACAATGTGTGCACATTTTCCACTCCATGGGGAGCATTCCAGCCAGTCGCCATTTTACAGGCGCACACTTGCTCGTTCAACTACATGAACGTTCGCATCCTACCGGGTACCCATTTAACACCTGGGTGGAGAGTAGCAAGTGCAGGTAAATATCTTGCCAAAGGATATTAGTGCCGTGTCGGGATTCGAACCCTCGACCTTCGCATCTACAGTCAAGCGCCTTAAACCACTGGACCACGACACTCCCTTTCTTAGTTTAGCTCAGAATGTAAAGAACATCATTTCTTACAGCTTTTAGATAAAAGAGATTCCCGTTTTGTAAGGTAAAATAACGTTCATTCTTATTTTCAATAACAGTATACAGGAACTCTGAGTATCGTTGTACGAATAATACCAATTTCGTAAATAACTTTAATGATACCTAGTATAAATAATTATTTAAAATAATTCAATACTTTCATCTCCACTCATAAAGCTTCATCATTTGGATTGATTTTTCTTTTCAAACATTTAATAAACCTCTCATCTGCTAATAATAAGCCATTGTGAAATTGGAAAGGAAGTGAAATGAACTGAAAAACATGGACAAAGACATGGAATTGTAGGACAGGGGTGTTAGATTGCGGAAGGTACTCAATGATATGAACGGAGTCTTACGTATTGAAGTCGACCAGATTGGTCAAAAAGTGAGAGCGCGGAAGGGGGTAGGGGAGGAGAGGGGGAGAGGTGGGTACCCTGCGCCTGTTTTATCTCTCGGTCCTGTATTTTAACCTCTCATGCGTTGTTGCAATCCAAACATGTTTTTAACGACAAACAGTAAACGCGCTTACATCTCCAAAAGTTATTACCGTGAAAATATCACTTGACAAGATGATGAGCGTACTGGCTGCTAAGCTGACAGGAAAGGCGACAGAGTGTATATAGAGAAAAATCACCCGTTTATTTCTACGCTCTAGTAGTGAATTGATGACTAGATAAGACTATTTCGAGTCATAAAAATGACATGCCAACATGCCTACTAAGATTTATTTGTACAATTATTGATACGAACACTCAAACAAAATGTCGTCCTTTTTCATCACACTTTCTATGCTCTCTTATCATGCATTTCGATTTTCTAGATATTTGTTCCTTGTTTAACGCGTTTTCTTTTCTTATCATGCAAGGCGATTTCGTAGATAATTTTTCCATGTTTGACGTGTTTTTCTTTCTGATAATGTTTCTTTTTGTATGTAGGGCTGCAATGACGTAGGGCTAATCTTTAACACAATGTATAGACCTATTGTTAAAGGGTCCATTTTAAAATTATATTTCTGAATTCACTGTTAAGTTACATCTGTATTCTAAGTTTCCTGTACATACCTGCCTTATGTAATGTACAAAATAATGGTCAGACAAAAATCTAGAGTGATTGGTTCATAATAAGTTCACATCTTTTGAAGACAGCAAGTGCATTTTTTCCAATTTGTTTATCAGTTAGTAAAGTTTCACCCTGCCCTGGAGGTCTGACTTGGTTTTTAACTTAAGAAAGGCAGGCTGAGCAGTTGTGTAATAATATTTGAGCATGGCATAGTGGAAATTATTTTCTTCTAGGATATCATCGATTGTAAGAGAGAGAAATGAGTGTTATGCCATCATTTAGAATAAAGGCAATGTTTATCAGTTAAACAGCGATTAAATGCGAGTTCTTTGTTTATTTTTACACGGTGTAAGGCCTACACACGCATTAAATTGTTTGACCACTCTTTAATAAGCCTTGGCGATTTGAGAATAGGAAAAAGAAGTTTAGCACTCACCATGTTCTAGGCTTTCAATGATTTCGTATATCTCTTGTTCGTCGAGTGCGTTCTCAGCTGCACCTCTCCTGTACTCGTCCTGGTCGAGACCGTAGGCCTGACACGTCCATGCCACGCACACGAGGACGGCAAGGAAAGCTAGCACAACCTGGTAGACGGACTTCATCTTCCTGAATATGTGTTAATCACTGCGATGCTGCTGGACTAGCGTGAGTGATGAGGGATAGGGAATGCGGCTGAGCTCGTGGCGGTGTGGTGCGACGTGGGGCAAACGAAACTTCGACGTCTACGGGTAAAGGTGTTTGGATGCTGGTGAGTGTTGGTATAAATGACAGCTTCTCGTGATTTTTACCTCCTGTGTTGTGAAGAGAGAAAAAAAGAGAACATATATTTTATATTGTAGTGGAATATGTTCGTCATGCTTCATGTACATTGAAAAACAATTTCCAGCAGTGGATGGGAAGGGAAGTGCCAGTCTTCCCTTGGTGTCACTATTGTTCCCCTCCCAATATCCATCTTTACCCTCTCCATGTTTCACACACACAAACCCACACACACGCACACACTCAACCTTATACCACATTTGTTTGTCGGTCTTTCTCTCTCTCTCTTTCCACACACTCACTGTACTGTCATATGTAATGCTATACAATGTAGGCCTGTATCACTTGAACCAGTTGGACACCTACACTTTTCGTTTTTCAGAGCTCGGTTGAACACAAATTACCCTAGTATGATAGGAAAATCCAAAGTCTAATCGCTCTTCGACGACGGAAACACCAGCTCAGCAATAGGCGGCTCACTCGATATCCTACCCGCGAGGACAAAATCCTTAAGAATATCCTGGATCTTTCTCAAATATCCTTGGCTAGTGGCAGAGAGAATCTAAGACATACGTAAGCTCTCCACGATGCTGTAAAAACTAATGCCATCATCAGCACCACCCCGTCCGCCTTTATAATATAACTCATAACCATCAATGCAGGAAGCGGGTGTGTGTGGGTGTTTTCATGTATACGTGGGGGGGGGGGTGCTGTAGGGTCAATGACGTCGGTGTGAAGCTAGTTCCTGATTGGTGATGTGATGAATGGCGGTGCCTAATGGAGCCCGACAGACCCTGATCAGTCAGATGAACCGTTTTGGGTTCGAGCGTTGTTAAGTATTCTTCAAGGGTGTGTTAGTGGGTGAGGAAGGGGTAAGGGGACGTGGTAATGGGTAATCTTGAGTGTCAAGAAAGAGGGGTACTTGTATGTGAAAATGAAGAGAGAGAGAGAGACCATTAAGCCGTAGATCGAGGTGGTACGAATAGTAGGGTCTGTACGGGGATAGGTTCTTTATACAGTTTTTTAAGAATTTGTTTGGTTTGGTGTTATCTTCCGTCTAAAAAACATAATAAATAATGATAGTTACTTAAAAATAATACGGATGGATCGCTCTATTCAGAGCCTATAATTGAATGACTCTGTTCTTCCCAGATATTGCAAGGCAGTCGAGTGTAACAGTCAAATACGAGCAATTACTCTTGGACCGTTGAATTGCGATCATGTAGGATTAAATTAGGTCCTTGTGAAAAATTTACAAGGCAAAATTAAAAAGAAAAGAAAAACAAACCTCTAAGTGTGAAAAAATCAATGTCATCTCAACGCCCTAAAAAAATGGTACATGTTTTAGTAAGAACATGTTTAATTTCTTCTGAAAGATAAAAGATATTTTTCACAAATCAGAGGACGACCGGGAAAGAGGATAAATGAACGGGGAGATGATAATGCTTAATTCAAACAATCTATCATCTACCTGAATTTAGATATAATTTATTTCATTGTTTTACGTGAAAGGGTAACGGGCCGATTATTCCACAAATAAATGCAATATACATCCCTAGAAGGTAAATATAATCCTTGCATAATACTATGGTAGCTAGCTTTGAGGGCGTATGACTAAGCTATCAACGACTCAACATCGTAATATGTATTTTTATTTCCTTATGATCTGCTTTAATTTGAACTCGGTTACCACAAAGGTTGATCGAACCAGAAGCAGTATATGAGAATCCGATTTGTAAAATTATGTTATTGTATTTTAATTATGTCTTATCATGCCTATGCCACAATGCAAAGCGATTCCTTCCACTACAAATTGGTCATCGCCTACACAACTTTGTTCAAGGCATAATAACTTAAATGTATGGATTATCTCATGTAGCATTTTAATCATTTTTTTTTGTTGCTGCCAAATATAACCTCGCCGCATGGTATCGGTATTGCAATTAGATTCCTAGCGTATCTAATGTTGTGACCAAACGTGACAAGCATCTCATTTATTAGACTACAACATCAAATGGTTAAGCCAAGCCAAGTATACTGCCAATGTGACAATATTTGACCGCTTTTTGTTTATTTCATAGCGTCAATACGGCCTTATGGTATTAATGTAACAGAAAATGCTAAAATTGTAAATTAATTCTGTCTGCATGAACACGTCGTTTTCTTAAATAACAAGCAACAACATATTGGTATTTTCCTTGATGGATCATTGAGTGGATGTAAGTTGAACAGACTTAGAAATATCGGAAAGATTTTAGAGGTTCGAATGTGCTGATAGTGCTTCACGAATAGCCTATAATAGAGATTATTCACTTCTTACTACTCCGTACTACAGAAGCCTATCGCTATGTGTGGGGCACACAATGGAAGTTTCAGGTCAATTTGTTACATTCAACACAGCTTTAAAGTGACTCGGTAATATAGCCTCAGATTCTGAAACAAAATCTTGGATTAAGCTCATGCTGCAATCATAATTATAAACCTTTAGGTCAGTCAGGAATCCCATGACTTTTACAAGCCGATCGCCTGTCTGATTATCAAGATATTTATGATTAGAAATCGAAATTTCATTTTCGTTTTCCTTGCGGTGTTTTTAAATAACATTGGGGGAAATGAGTATGATAAAATCGGTCACTCAAAGATTTTTACTTTTTTGAGACACCTCATCATCATTTTGATGCGCATTTTTTGTTAAGGGCTTCAATATTACACCATATCACAAACACCAATAACACGTAGGGCCATGCATCTTAGATTTAAAATTGTTAAACGATGCCTTTAAGAAGATATCAGTGACAAGATTGTTTTCTTCACACCCATCCAAAAGCCCTTAAGATTAATGATAGCTCTCTTAGTTATTTCCATTTTCTATCTATTAAGATTCCATTTGCGATTTGTTCTCTCCGTACTCGCTATGGATCAATAACGGCATTATATTGACAAGGCTTGGATTACTGAATGATAAATTGTAAAAGCCATATTTCGAAGATTATTATGCATATTTTGTTACCAAGTTTAGCCGAATCGTCCTAATATTCGACGAGGGAATTGCAAATGTAGAATCAGGTCTATATCACAAATTCAGAATAAGTAATCCAATATCAAATTTGGTATTCAATAAGTCGAATGTTTTTCCGAAAGAAAATGATGAAAACATCTTTACGATCCCTCCCCTCTAATAGATGAAGATCCTTTGAAAGTATGACGTGCTATCTTTCTTCCACAAAATTGTAGTTAAAAGGCGTTTAAGACTTAAGATATTTATTCAAAAAGGGATAGTGAAAGGGAAGAGATGCACACCTATACGCGTCAAAGAAGAAATAGGCATGCCATTCATTAATGCACAATTTATAATTAGTCCGAATCTTTCTCTCTCTCTCTCTCTCTCTCTCTGTTTTGTCTCTCTCTCTCTCTCTTCTTCTCTATTTTCATTTCTCTGTCTTTCGTTCTTCCCTCGCATCTTTTTTCTCTCCTGTTTTCCATCCATGGAGGAACATTTTGCAAATTGGATATAAAGTTATTAAGTTGTATGTTGGTTTAAATATAACATGAGAAGAATCTCTAAGCTACCACAGTATATCAATAACAGGCAAGGTTCGATCAAGGTGAAAATCAAACGATCATCCAAGAGGGTGTAGCAATGTGAAAACCTGTTTCAAACCTAAAGGCGACATAATGTATTAATCATTTTCTTTTATAACATTTTTTTTTTATTGCCACATATTGTTTAAAAAAAACATAATCAGCAAAAGCAAAGATTTAAAAACGGTAACCAAATACTTTGTGTTCTTCCTTTTTAAAAAGAAATTCCAAAATTGTTGTACCCAAAAATATCTAGCAACATGAAATCTGAAATTTGACAGAACAATGGAAGTTTTTAAGTAACAGTGGATTATGTGTAAAAGTTGCTATTTTTATCAACCAAAATGAAAGAAATCTGTAAAACCACTGTCTGGGCAAAAACATATCCTGAAGTCGGATTTCATTTGATGAATTCGCAAATTGAAGGAAAAAATCCGAACAATAGATTTACAAAGAAGGAATTGTACATTATTGACTTGACAAGAGGCAATAAAAACTAGACTTTGTGATATGAACTACATGATTGAAGAAAGCAATAAGTCCTCTTCTCGGACTGATGGTTATGCCTCCCCCTGTATTTTTTGGTTAATCTCTGTTCAAAATGTGAATTGTCTTTGATGAAAGAAATTAGAACAAGAAAATGCACGATCATCTCGTATTAAGGTCATACGCTGTCGTAATCGAGAGCAGCAAAATAATACAAATAAAGGGGCGTACGTGTATGTGTGCGTGTATGTGACAGTATGTATTGTAGCAATACTAGAGCGGGGTGTATTAGACTGCAAACATGTATAAATTGTATGCACAGTAACACACGAATAAACAGTAAGCCCCCCCCCCCCCTTCCGAAAAAAACGAATACAATTACAAATACTAATACAAATAAAATTTAATCGGAGTGAAATATGGAAGAGCAAACAAAAACACGTAGGGATGACGATTTTCTTTATATCATTCATATTACAGTTAAGCATTTAAGACTTAGTGTCACCAAATCAGTATTTTCGACACCATCATCATCATCGAAAGCTAATCTCTTGCATTATGCTATGACATGGAAATGATGAGAAATGAAAAGTGCTTGTCAGAAAAAGGAAACTTTATTTATTTATGAACGAATCACACTATTTTTGTCAATGTAACCATCCCGCCCCCTTCAAATTCATTAAAGGTTTAAACCTATCGGTCGTCTCTTTTTATCTTTATCCAGTAAAAGTCATTTTCTCTGAAGTTTATTTGTATTCATGAGCTAATTATTCTATGCCCTGTGGAATGAACCAGGCATGATGTCACTGAACAAAGTCATGTGAGGAACTTCCGCAGGAAGATTATCATCAATATTTTGAGTAATATGGGATGTTGTGTTATCACGAAATATTATCGTTTGTGGCTAAGGTAATTTCATCGTAATTGCTTGCTATATATTTGATCATGAAATAGTTTCCACCATATCGTCTTGAAAATGGAATTAATTATTATTGCCTGAAGGAAAAGTTGTTATTAAGTTGTTTGATATACAATGAGCCGAACGTAGGAGCCATCCATTAAGTGAACCCCAAACAAAATCAGTCTCCTGAAGTACGAATTTAAAGGAAGAAAGACAAAAATAACACATGTGTTAAGAAAGAGTTATCTGCGATTAGTATACATTTTTCGTTATATTTCCTTCTTCTTTTATTTTTCTTCGTTAAAAGGCCGTTATTATATATAAATGATTTTTAGGTGTATACTTGATATTCCTCACGCAGATTTTGATGCATACTGATTTAAAAAAAGTTATAATGCGATTATCTCATAGTGTCATATTTTCCCAGTTATTTTAAGAACCCTAAACAAGTCATCAAAGTGAACCATCCTGGTCATTCGACTGATTTTACGCACATTACTAAAGAATTACAAAGGTAACAAAAACAAAAAAGTGCCACAGTAAAAAACTCGGCGGCATTTCTCATTCAATATGTTTATTATATTCCATTTTGCTCGTCAGACATATTCTTTTTCCAAACATGACAACACT